TCATCTCTGATGGGAAATTTACTCCTCAGTCAAACTGTCTCCACACTTCCAGGGAAATATGATCCTCATTCCCTTCCCTGGGACCAGTAGTATCTACCTCCAGTAAATCCACCCTTATTGTTGATGGAAATATCCCTCCCTGGTGAGATTTGGTGAAACCTAAGTAATACAAGGCCACATGGCCATTAAACTGGAACGGTTGTGATTCTCTTTCCCCAGCTGCTCTTTCTCTTTAATACTGCCATCAGTACTTAGTACTTACAGTACTTAGTACTTACAGTACTTAGTACTTACTCTCACCGCTCCAACCCCCACAATGACCTGCTGCGGGGTCCCTCACTCTAGTATTCACCTCACAATATTTTGTCAGTTCTTAATTTTCTAGCACTTGATATTTCTATAGTGACCACAGAGAAACATCTCGTCTACGACTTCAAAGGATGCACCACAAATTAATTAAAATATATGCTTGGAAATTGGAAATTACATCAGGCTCTTAGTTACAGACACCTCACATTAGGACAGTGAATTATGCAAAACCTAACTTAACTTTTTTGGAGAAAAACAGATTCTCTCATCCAGTGAGAAACAGTTCAGTGCTAGTGGGCCTCCTCTATAGAAAGAACCAGTGACCAGGCCTTCTGAGTTCCTCCTGTAGCAAACAGTATAGGACAATCTTCAGTCTCATGGTCGCAGGGTAGTAGCCTTGGGATTAGCACCATGTTTTTATCTTTGCAGGGAGATATAAAAATAGCAAACAAAATCATAATATAATAAACAGGTAAACATGAGAAAACCCTCTATTATAGATATATACATAGATATTAGAGATTCGCATATAATTACACATATTTCACATATTTCTCTATATAATATCTATCCATCTATCTAACTACATATATATTTATATATAGATATGTGTATATATGTATGTATATATATGTATATATACATATATCTATATATAGATATATGAGTGAGAGAGAGAGAGAGAGAGACAGAGAGAGAGAGAGAGAGAGAGAGAGAAATGCTTAGAAATCCAACCAAAGGTATCTACTTCCACTTACAGGAGCCATGTGTCTTTCTTTGTCTTTAAAAGTAATGTTGACAAATACAGACTTTTAAAATTATACATCTTTCCACTCCAGTTAATATAGGTCTTGTCAGTAAAAAATGAGAATTATTGATACTGAGTTCACAATTAGCTATCTTTGTCATAATGTGGTTTTTCTCACTTGAGTTTTTGTTTTAGGAGGGGAGCATAGATATGTAAAAGTTGGTGCATGAGTTAGGACTTAAATAATGTTTTTACAAGAAATTATCATCTGCTAAATATAACTTGGTCACAGGCTATGCAGAATTTTAATCAGCTTGATGTCTCACCCTCAAATCCAGCAAATGAAGACTGTTAGATTGTTCATTGCTTTATATATTTCCAAGAAATTTTAGGATATTGTAAATATTTCAGAAATATTTCTCCCTCAGTGGTAGTCCAATAAGAGCAGCAGAAGTCCTCTTTTTCTTGGTTATCTACGCACTAATTGGGTCTTAGATTCTAGGAGAAAGAAGCAAATCCTGGTTTCTTAAACATCAGTCCCAGAGTAATGGGATCAGTGCTGAAGGAGTTAGATATGTGACCCATAACTAAAAGCTCTTCCTAAGAAACATGTAAATGTTTATTCCATTATACTTATCCTTTCCCTTGGACCCAACTCTCATCTTCAGATTCACCGGCAGGTTTGAGGACATTCATAGTAGTTAATTTTTGAGTCAGCCCAAAGCAGTCTCAAAGAGCTAATACAAATTCCTCACATCTGTGAAGCTTCAAGATGTAGATCTCCTTGTCACTGTATTGTATTTTCTCACAGCTATTTTTTCTCCTCCCTTAAGGGAACACTCATGTTATTCGGTACCTAGCACATAAATCTTTCATGCAGGCTCTGGGTGACCTCTCTGGGAATCAACTTTTCACCCGATTACTTCAGCTGTATTGTTTTTCTGCCCCCTCCCCACCAAGATTTCAGGACAGCTATTTAAACTTCTGCTTTTAGTTTTTAACTTGAAGGAATTGCTTTATTTTGATGATGCTGGGGAGGGGTGCACATTAATAAAGTATATATGCATGGCAAGTATTCTCAAAGTTAATGGCTTAACACAACTGTTTACTCAACTCCTAATTCTGGGAATTCAACAGTGTTAAATAGTCCTTTTTCTCTTAACTGGGCCGGTTCATATGTCTGGGACATTGCCCAGAGAGCTGACTGCTGACTGACTAGGAGGGCCCCAGATGGGACAGCTTATCTCTCTTCCACGTGGTCTCTTATCCTTCAGCCGACTGGCCTGGGATTGCTCACATGGGAGCTGAGCTGGCATGAAAAGTCTCTTGAGGCTTGGGTCTGGAATTCTGTCTTCTCCCCTCAGTGCCCAAAGCAAGTTTCAAGGTCAACCTAGATTTAAAGTTGGGGAAAGAGATTCCACCTCTCAATGAGAGGGTTTGTAGAGTAACATACATTGCAAAGAGCATGTACACACAAAGAAAATAGTTGCTGCAGTTTTTTTTCTTGTTGTTGTTGCTTGTAAGATCTATCAATTAAGATTCTTCGGATGCTTATACAAGTTTCTAGAAGCTGTACTGTACAAATGCTAGATCTTTCCATTTCCTTGAGCATTCATATAGGTCCCAGTTGTAAACCTATTACATACATGCAGAAACTCTTAAGAAACATGAGCTAATGGTTTGATGCGAGAGCCCTTTTTCTTACCATCTAATAACTCCAACTTTCTTGACTGTACATTTCAGTATGATTTTTTTCAGTATTCATACATGTTCATGATTATATCACTATAATCAATATGGTAACTATGTTCTATAGAAATGATAAAGTTAATAAATGCTTGATTGTTCCTTTATATATATGGATATCCTTATCTTGACTTCAAAGACCAAAGATCAAAAGCCTTTTAATGCTCCAGGCACTTCATGATTCTTCAATAATCTTGAATAAAGTGAATCTTGAATTCTACTTGATGTGGAATGTATCTCTATGTATCTCTAATCCCAGTTAGAAATGTCTGATATTAAGGACAGAGGCTTTAGATACTTGATTAGAACTCATGGAAGATTATGATAGAATGACTCCTTAAATCAAAAGAGAATGTTCTGGTTTTTCGGTATCAGAGCTCATAGTTTTGTTGACCAATGAGTACTCACAACATTGACCGTCAGCTCATTATCTTACCACTCTCTGGAAATTTATCAAGAAAACACACTCATTCCAACTCCTGCATGACTTGACATTAATTCCATAACTTCCATTTTTTAATTAAGCTACAGAATTGAAGAGGAATTTACAATGAAAGGGACATGAATACAAGAAAGGGATAGTTGCTACAGTTAGTTATTTAAAAAAAATCAGTTTAAGATTTGTTGGGTATTTACCAGACTATCACATAAGATAAATACTGTACAAATGTTAGCTCTTCAAATCTCATTGAGATCAGAAGGTCCTAATAGCAAACCTAATAGCAAACCTGCACAGTAGTGCAGGACCCTACTTTAGAAACATTTTATGATGAATAGATGCGTACATGATAAGGAGGTTTAGACAACTCTTAGTATATAGTTACTGCATGCTAAGTGCTATTCAAAGTTCTTGTCAGTTTACTCACAGAAAGGCAGACTGTGATAGTATGTGAACACGCCTCCCTTACAGACCAAAGGCCAAGGCATAACAAGTCAATGCCACATGCAAGTCTTCTAGCACGCTGTTTAAGACAAAGTAAGTCTCGAAAGATGTGTTTACTATGTTAGAGAATGTTATTTCCTCATAGTTTCTTACAGAATGCTTTGTGTGTGGTAGGTTTTAATAGATTCATATTGATTTGATTTCAGAAGAACCCTGTTGTATCCTATTGGGTTTCCAAGAAGTATATTCTATGAAAGGAGTCTCGTGTTTCCAGGATAATATGATTTGTGTGATTGTTTTTAGATTAAGTTACTGTCTTTTCTTTACCAAAGAAGATTAAATGAGTATATGCAAATCAACCAACCTCAGCAGTTACCTCCCCCAGAACCATTTAGAGAATTGTGTTTGCAGGCCAAGGTAGAGCCCTCACAGGACCCATTTAAAAAATAACTAGATTTTTTATTAAATAGCGCTTTTAATGCTTAAGGAAAAAAATAGTACTCTTGGTTCTGTTTGTTGTATTTTGTTTGTTTGTTTTTTTTCTGGGAAGGTGGGGAAAGAAGGGGTTGGCTCCTACACTTACTAGTCCACAGTCCATAGTGTCCATAGTGTCTCACACATTTTTGCTTATTGCTTTCTTTTTTACATTTTTTTGCCTTCATTTAAAATTGACTTGATCATTTATCAAATCCTTGATATTCAACATAATAGTAAAAGAAATGAAAAACTGTTCCCTTAAGCGCAGTCAAAACCTACCTCTCTACCCCGCCCTTAGACAGTGTTATTCTTTAGACTACAGTCTGAATAAACCTAAAATATCATGCTTAGTAAGATGACGTCGCTTAAACTTAGCCTTGTCAGATAATTGGGAGAATGATGTGTAAGAGTCAAGACCTTCAAGAATTTAGGCAGCATCATCAGGGAGGTGAATGACAAGTACACCAGTTTAGCAGCAAGCCTGGTCTTTAGGAATGTGTGGGCCTGCCATGTCCCTGATGAAGAGCAGTCATGGGCAAGACCTCAGTACTGTCTTCAGAACCATCCTGACTGAGCACAGGCAGTTTCTAGAGAGTGAACAACTTTCATGGCAGCTGTTCAAATGGAATAAAGAGGCAGGTTTTCGGTGGTTGCCGTGTTTCAGATTCTAAACTGAGTAATTAATGAAGATGATATATTTATTCAGTAAAAACAATCTGAATTTGTTTTATGAAAGCTTATAAACTACAAATCATTAAATCGGATGAGAGCTACACTTTGCCACTGGAAGTGAATATGTTAGACACACTGCCTTTAGAAATATTCCATTGTCCGGGTGAGGGGATCCAGTTCTGAGAGGAAGGCACGGGCGGCGGAGCTCGTCCTGGAAAGACTTTTCTGCTGACTGTCATCTTTTTCTGGAAAACTGGATCCTTCCAACCATATGGGGATGAACCATATGGGGATGAACCATATGGGGATGACCCACATGGACAGCAACAGCACCATGCCACCTCATCATCACCCAACCACCTCGCCCTCACACTCCCATGGTGGAGAAGGCATGATGATGCCTATGACCTTCCACTTTGACTTTAAGAATGTGGAACTCTTGTTCTCTGGTTTGGTAATCAACACATCTGGAGAGATGGCTGGAGCTTTCGTAGCAGTGTTTTTACTAGCAATGTTTTATGACGGACTCAAGATAGCCAGAGAAGGTCTGCTGCGTAAGTCTCAAGTCAGCATTCGCTACAATTCCATGCCTGTCCCAGGACCAAACGGAACCGTCCTCATGGAGACACACAAGACTGTCGGGCAGCAGATGCTGAGCTTCCCCCACCTCCTGCAGACAGTGCTGCACATTATCCAGGTAGTCATCAGCTACTTCCTCATGCTCATCCTCATGACCTACAATGGGTACCAATGCATCGCAGTAGCAGCGGGGGCTGGGACAGGATACTTTCTCTTCAGCTGGAAGAAGGCAGTGGTAGTGGACATCACAGAGCATTGCCATTAACATCAGACTCCACAGATTGCTGTAGGAAGCATCTTGGAACTGAAAGATATGATTCCCCCTCCAACCATCCCTTCTCTCTTCTATCTCTATGCACACACACTTACTGAATAGAGGCTTAGTTGACAGTCTCTGAGTAGTGGTTCTTCTAGTAAGATGAAATTGACATTTCTCTTCAGAAGTCACCTGTGGGATGTCTTCTCCCTCCTAATCCTGAGCTTTGTCTAATCCAGGTAGCTCTTTAGTTAATGACATGGTTATCTGCTTTTTATTTTTCTGGTTTTGGGGTTTTGTGTATTTTTGTTTTAAATAGATAATATGTGGGTGGAATTCTGAGTCAGTGATAGAAAAGGATTTTAACTTCAAACAGGACTGATGGTAATTAGGGACATCTCACCCAACTCGGGGCTTCAGTTTCATAGTAGAAAATAATCTCATCTTAACTCAGTGAGTTCTCTAGGTGTGATGTGTTACACCAAAATACTAGTAGAGTGTGGAGAGTGGTTAGGGACTAAATACAGTCATCGAGTTTGAGGAGTGTGTAATCTTGCTCTCTTATCCACGTAACACTGTGATTAGAAATGAACTTACCAATCAAAACAAAAACAGAACAGTCAATGTGAGACTATAGAAATAGAGATTGTTAAATAAAACCATTGGCATTTTTCTTTGACTCAGACATTTGTTTGTCCCAAATGAACAAAGCAAAAGTTTGTAATTTTTTTCCTATTATTGTGTGCTTCCCTTGAAACAAATGATTTTCAAACTTTAGAATGTTTCAGAGTCACCCAGAGTGCTTCTTGTTAAGATAATACTTGGTGGACTTCAACCCTAGTGCTACCAAATTTGGCATTTCTAAGTTTCTAGGTGATGTTTCTGCTGACAATCTAGAGGATTACCCTGAGTTGGCATTAAAATAGCAAAGTTGTACGTGGAAGGGACAGAGGGTGGGGCTACCTGGTATCCAGCATGAGAATCTGAACTGCTGGTTGGTAGGTGGTATGTCTTGGGCATGTGTCACACCTAAATGCTGCTGGCTAATACTTATTCATTCCACAAACTTTTATTTAGCTCCCGATATGCTTTATGTGCTCACAACACACAACTCGTGTGGACTATAGCCAGAGTACACACATGTATACAAAGTCTCTAGTCCTTTATGTGTGCTCATAACACACAACTTGTGTGGACTATAGCCAGAGTACACCATGTATACAAAGTCTCTAGTCCTTTGTGTGTGCTCATAACACACAACTTGTGTAGACTATAGCCAAAGTATACACATGTATATAAAGTCTCTAGTCCTGATTTTTAAAGATCTGAGGTTCCTTGTAAGTAGTTTGAAGGCCAAGAGACCTTTGATCTGCAGTGCAGGTCAGCCAGCCAAAGGCCAGAGGGGCTAAAACCCAATTTTCTGTTTGGAGAAGCATGGGGCATGGCCCACTAATAGCCAGGTTTTCTCAGTGTGCACTATGTAAGTCCTCTTCCTCTGCTTGACCACCTTTATTGCGTATGGGAATTTGCATAGATCACAGTGGCCAAAACCCCTTTTCTCAATAAATCCCACTGGATGTTCTGTCAATCATTAGTCTACATGAAGGCTTGTTCCCAAACTACCTCTTTAAAGTGATTCTTCCTATGCTAGTCTGTTATACCTGCCCTCTTTGGTGCTAGATCCAGTTGTGCCTCAGAGCAGAAGAAACACACCTGCTATCTTGTTGGCCCAGTATTATGATTCTGAAGTTTGTACTTTCCCTCTACGGGTGCCAACTAAACATCGGAGAACAAGGAATATATACTTTGGTAGCTTTGAACCAAGAAAGGGTTATAAGCCTGCTGGATTAAGGCTAAAAAAAATCTAAGAAATTAACTTTAGAGCTTTTTCTCTTAGTTCAATCTTGCACAGTGAATGACAGGTACTGACAGAGCCCAACTTTACAGTGCAAATAGCCTGTTGTTATCTCAGAAGCTAAGGAACAATAAACCCAGGGGAATACAGAAACCACACTTAGTGGTCACCCTGGTGCTTTCTAGAGATCTCCAGATGAGCTGCCATAAAACACCTTCCAGGGGCTGAGATGCAGCTTAGATATGGATCACTTCTCTAGCATACATCAGGTTAGACATAGCCTTGTTTAACCCCAAAAATCCTAAAAATAAAGCATACACTATGAGAAACAGGACCTTATCAGTGAGGTGAGAAGAACCAAGGCTAGTTAGGACAAGGTGCTATGAGTCTGAAACCAAGAGAAATCTCACTCTGACATGGTTCTTCAGGGGAGATTCAGGTTAGAAGCAGTCTACTACAAAACCTGCACTTGAGATCCCGGACTAGGTTCTAGAGGGTGTGGTTAGTACAGGAAGAGGTAAAGCTTAAATCCCATGCTCTTGAACTTTAACACCCAGCTCCTATGTTTATCTAAAACTTTCTTCCATGGGAAGACTGTGTCTGGATTTCCTTAGCCCCTGCCTACTTTTCCCTTTCTGTCTTTATCCCAGGCAGCTTAGTTTTTAAAATCTGTTTCCTGATACAGTAGACATTCAATGCTGTGGTTATAATTAGCATACCAATTAGAAGTTGGTATTTACAAACCAGGTAGAGGTCTTAAGTTTGCTTCAAGAAGCAGTCACCCCATTAGAATTTCTATAAAGCTAGGTAAAGGATTACCTTTCTCCAGAGTTACAGATCCAAAATGGAAGAACACTCAACACCCCATTGCCCACATGTGGAACATCCACAACAATCCATCAGTTTCACTATGGTAGGGTTGTCCCAAACTCTCTTTCAGACTGTGGGCCTAGGTTCCTTACTAGAATCAGGAAAGTGAGGCAGAGCATACATCGTATCGTTTAATCTTGAGCCTGCCCTTTCCAGCCACTTCCAAAGAGTCATCTAAATGACAAGTCTGCATTTGATGTAATGCCTTAAACACTGGCTCTACATTTCACGGTGACTGTTTCAGAGACTGTGAGCTCCCAGAGAGCAGGATTGGTGAAATGGGAATGGTTTAAGTGTTGTGTGCAAGAGAACAAAATAAACATCTTGATTTTGTGAGTCCATGAAAAAAATAAAAGAAATATTCCATTGTCCTAGTTGCTTTACATACTAAAGATTTCTTGATCATTTGTTTTGCAGTCTATTTGGGGTGCTCAAGGGAGTGCAGTTTGGCTCCTTACAGTCGCTTAGGGCCATGGGTACTTTCCCTGCAGGCACAGCACTGTCCTGTCACAGCACTGTCCTGTACCACTAGAGGCTTTTCCTAGCCTTAGGGCCCTTCTGAAGAAGCTGCAGGTCTGTATGGAATTGTGTGCACAGACATTAGGGCCTTGTCACTGAAGTATTTACTTCATTTTTACCCTTTACATAGGATCTGATCTTGTGAGCCTCCAAAACTAGCAGGTGCCTGGGAAGTGTTGTCCAGCTGAGCTCCTCAGAGGAAATCTAAGTACTTTTTGCTGGGGACACGGTCTACCAATAGCAGTCCTAAGACATTCTGTCCATGGTTACTGTATTTACATTTAGAACTTAGCTGCTTTTTCCCATATTCCTCTTATATAGTGATAGTCCTGTTGCTGTCTGGAAATCTAGTTCTATTTTCCTATAGCTTTTAGGCTTTTTTTGTTCTTTTATTCTTTAAAAAGTTATTTCTTTAATCTTTTTAAGATTATAATATAATTACATCGTTTCCTTCTTCTCTTTCGTCCCTCCAAAATTCTCCCATATACCCCCCCACACCCACACTCTGTATTAGTTAATCAGTTGACGTGCTGATCCCCAAGGAAGATTATTTCTCCTGCTCTCAGAATTCCTTTGCTGCCTGTGGTTCTTTGTGTGGGGTTGGGACCTGCTGTGTTTTTCCCTTCCACCTGAGGATGTTTATTATTGTCCTTGTTCAGCTTATATTTAGGCAGCCATGTTGGTGAACCATTCTTTTTTTCCCCCTTTTCTTCCTTTTTTAGCTGTGATTGGTCTTTGATACACTGTCAGTCTCAATGCTGCTCACCCGTGCTTTCCCAAGGACAGGTAGACAAAGCCTGCTGCCTTTTCCGCTGTATGCTTAGAGAACCCTGTATGAAAGGTTCTCTGCCAGGTTTCATCAAACCAAAGGGAAGCAGCTGCATGTTCTGCACGTATTAGGTAGGAACCACATGGTTATGGCTGCATATCACATGTTACTTCTTAGTTTCAGATTGGGTTTGAATGGCAGAACTATTTCCTCAGAATTACTAAAATCATGATAATATTGAAAAGTCATAATATTCATCCTTAATTTTGAATGTAATTCAATTCCACCATATAGATATCTACAAAGAGTTGGTGATTACTATAGTCAGTGGCATACAAGGGAATAAAAAGTCTCTTATTCTTCCAGTGGATTGAGAGACTAAGAGAAGAAACTTGGTGCCTTGTTCTACAGTGTTTATGCAATGAGAAGCAGAGCCTCTTAGAAAGGTGACTATAGTTTGCTAACCTGAATCTTATAAGAATATGAGACTATATTCTCATGAGAATATAAATTTGTCTGTAAACAGAAACTTCTCTTTCGTTCCCAGCTGTCCAGACCTGCACAATCACATAAAAACTGTATTAATTACAATACTGTTTGTCCAATCAATTAGGCATATTCCTAGCTAGTGCTTATATCTTAAATTAATCCATCTATCAATCTGTGTATCACCACAAGGCTGTGACTTACCAGTAGGTTTTTGGCATCTTTCGCCTTTGACAGCTCCATGGTGTATCCCAGGCTCCACCTTCTTTTTCCCAGTATTCAATTTAGCTTAGCTCAATTCTGTCATGCCGTACACCAAAGCAGCTTCTTTATTAATCAATGGTAATAAAACATAGTTACAACATACAGAGGGAAATCCCATATCATCTTCCCTTTTCTGTCTAAATAGAGGGAAGGTTTTAACTTTATCATAGTAAAATTACATATAAAAAACAGGTATCAAGCAAGAATTACAGTTACAATATGTATTCTATTTTTATCTGGAAAGTTTCATATATAATTTATCTTTTATTATAATTAAGGAAAACAATAACTGTCTGTCTTTAACTCCATCAAATACCCCAGAAGGATTTAATATTATGTGAATAAACAGGAAGGATATTATAAGTAACTTCTAAAACTCTAGAATTGACAGAGACATCTTGCTTCCTGGACAGTCACCCTAAGTTCTTCTGTAACATTGGGGCATTCATCTTCAGCCTACAGGCCCATAGTATCTGGCAGACTTTTTCATGAAGCAAGAAATTTGAAAGACTGTTTTGTCTATACTGACAGTTAGTTGGTCACTTTCCTCTGTGTCCTGCAGAATGTCTGGCAGTTTCATCTGTGAAGCAGGAACATTGAAGAACCATTCTAATTTTTTTGGAAAGTTCAGCAGTCACTTTTCTCTGGGCCTTGCATGTCTAGTTTATACAGCATATCATCAAGCAATCCAGGCAAGAGCAGTTTCTTGCCCAAATGGCTAGCCTTGTTACACTGAAGGCAAATTCCATAACAAGCTTCTTCTATGCAAATCAACCTCTCTGAAGTAGTTGGGGTTGCCAGAAGCAGATATGTCTCCCTGTTGAGAAGAATTTAAGTTCCTGAAACATTTTAAATGCCATATTCTGTTAGTCTTTGAAAGGTTTGAAGAATATCCATCTGAAATATATCTCTGTACATCTAGAAAGCTTAACTAATGTGAGTACAGTTTGACTATTATAGAGGACTATCTATTAACCTATATTTCTTAATTATACATTATATTTTTAAATGAACTGCACAAACACAATGCCTTAAACAAGAACAAAAATATACATACACAGTATAACAAAATCGACCTTAAATTTGTATCAATAGACCAAGATCCATACCAATACAAAATATTCAACTCTACATCATATCTCCCCCCTTTTTAAAAATAAAATTGACTGTGACCATTTAAGCATTTAAACTCAATCCCTTTTATATGAAAACAAACATTTATAAAGATTAATTTTGGGAATTTGGGCATAGTTTTCTCCAAACTGCTTCCTGCTATAGTTTTAGGGTTCATGGAGTCTTTAGGTTCTGACATCTTTCTCCTTCGGCAGCTACATGGTATCTTCTGGCTCTATCATTTTTCTCCCACCATGCAGTTTAGTTTTCCTGCCTAGCTCTATTCTGCCATGCCATAGGCCAAAACAGCTTCTTTATTAAACAACGGTAATAAAACATATCCACAGCTTACAGAGCAGAATCTCACACCATTTGTCAAATAAATGTATTTTACTTAAGCATTTCTCATATAGTATATTTGGATTATGTTTTCCCCTCCCCAAACTTTCCCAGATCCTTCTCACACCGTTACCCACCCAGCTTCATGTTTTCTCCCTCCTTTTATTTTTTTCTCTTAAAA